TAGCCAAACTTTCAAAATTACATACAATTGTAATAATTGCATAAACCGAGTTAAAGTTTTTTTTAAAAGACAAGACTGGATCTTCAGACTACAGCCCTATTCAACTTTGGGTTGAGCTAATAAAATCATTTTGATCATTCTTCTGCTGAATTTATGGTTTTCAACATGAATCTACAGGGGATACTGCCTGTCCTTGCTTCAAAGTGCAAGGTCCCATTTCCTTTTGCTCACGTGCAACTGCTCTGCGTTGGAAGTTTTATGAAATCTGCTTCCTGCTAATTTCCCTGTATTCTTTCCTTTCCAATTATATCCCTCCCAGTGAAACTTTGGTTTATTTTAATTTTCTTTCAATATATACCTTTTATAAAACAGACGCACTAAAGTTGTTCTAAAAGAAGCAGCAAGAAAGAGATGGAAGAATTACAATTAGATAATAATAAGAGTGTTTTAGGAACTCATTAGAATTGAGCCACGACAGGAAATGCTTCATCATATTTCTGGGAAAATGTGTTCATCCTTATCAGGTACATCTAAGGAAACTTTAGAGCTCAGAGTACACTTAACAGCGCTGAGGCTCTACTTTATAGCCATACTATACCAAGGATGCTGCCAATGCACAAAATGTTCTTGATACTCTAGAGGAGCATGATAAGGAAGGAATACAAGAGTCTTGCTATGTAAGGTCCAACTAGCCTACAAAAACGTAGGTTAAAGTGTCATGTCAGTGTAAGAAATCCTGTTGAGGATGTTAACCAACCACAGATCCCCACCTTGAAAAGAGAGCAGATTTGGGGGCTAGTTCCAAGGGGACTGTTTGCACTTAACAGAATTGCTGACTTCTATAATCCATGTTGTGTAGGTAACGCTTGCTTCTAATAGTAATACAACTTCATCTATTGATATGACAAAGACACCAGGAGAACATTACATGCTGAAATATGCACTCATATTTTACCTGTAGTCCCATTTTTTAATTTGGGGTTTTTTTTAATAGAAAAGCTGACATGTCCGCTACATATCGAACTTTTTTTCCTTCTCTGCTGGTATTTCAACCTGGTAACACATGTAAAGTAAGATAGAGCGTTCAAGATCAGAGAAACCAACACTTACTATCCTTCATATTAAAAGTTTTACTGATTACTGCCTAAACAAGAAACCCCTCCATTCGTATTGCTGCTATAACTATAGCAGCTATTAAATTGGCAGCCAACACTGTGCCATTTCCTCTCCCCCAACCTTTTGGCAGAACAATTGCCACATTATACTCCAGGACATACAGCAGCCAGTCATGCTGCTCCTGGATCAGTTCAGAATTGTGCCTGCACCCTTCTAATTGCTCCTTTGCCACTGAACTGTCAAGATGTCCTCAGACAAAAATGAGAATGGTGCTAGAAAACTTACCATGTATGGGACAGTGGTGATGACCATTTAAAATCCTTGTTGCAAAAGCAGTTTAAACCAGCAAACAAGTTTTGCTTGCCTGTTTTGGTTGGGTTTTGGTTTTTTAAAATAATCTTTCTATTTCTAAGGTTCTTAGCTGTCTACTTGATACTTATTTCAACAGAGCTTTTCAGACACATTACTGTTCAAGTACTGGCTTTAGGTAACTCAAAAAAATTTGTATCTTTACTGTACTTAGCCTAAAGGTTAATCAGAAGTCACTCCCACAACAAATACACCAAGATGATGCATTCTGAGGTAGCTTGTTTAATCTAAACCAAGTACCATAGCACTGAGTCAAGACACACACAGAGTAAAGGAACAAGTGCTGAATGGGACTGTACAAAAGAGTAGGCAGCTTCTGAAGTGTATGTTAAGTGAAAACTGAATAGAAAAGGCTAGTGCTACAGATAACACTGGAGAACTATCAAAACTTCCCTACCTGGGCTTTAACAATATCTTCAGAGAAACGAACTATCTTTTAAAAAAACTGAAGTAAACAAAAAAATACTCTCTTCTATCTCACCTACAGGCAAGCAAGATTCAAAGGAAGTGTTAACAGAGGTGAAAGAATTTTTACATGAAGGTAACTATGGCAGGGACATGGGAAGAGTTAAAACCCAGATAAGAGGAAAAAAAAAAAAAAAATCACCCTGCAGGATGAACAGGCCTACAGTACATCTAATAATGTGAACAAAAAAGTTGCACAGTATACTAAACCGTTAACTCTATTTTGTATTATAAGGCACATTTCCTTCAAACTCTGTTTAAGGAAAATGATATGATGTGTTCCAGAAAACTGTCTTTGCTCGTGAGATATGGATTACCAGACAAACAGCAAGCACTAATTTTGGTCTTCAATGTTATTGCCTGTTATCTACCAGTCTGACACCATACAACACACAAGAACAAAGGTAGCTTGTCAGACTAGCCATGTGGCAAAAGGGAGCCTGGATTTAAAAGGTGGTGTTACATCTGAAAAGTGATGTACATCCTGGCCATATGCAAGTAGAAGTGAAGAGAGACAAAAATGAGGATGGAATCTGGACTATGCTGAAAAGCCATTCATCTGCCAAAGAAGTAAAACTAGAGAAGGACAAATATACACATATTACAAAGAGTGAGGTTACATGCAGTAAGTATATAAGAAAGCACATAATGTTTATATTTAACAAACGTATTTTCCAAAGTAAGAGTTCCAGAAATTTAATTAAGTTGCAAGTGCAAGAGAAGCATTTAAATACTCATTACAGGCACAGACCAATTATGAGTTAACAAGTTAATGAGTTAACAAGTCCCCACTAATGAATTTGGAAGCTAGGCCCTTCAATGCTTTATTGGAATATCTGAAGCATGATAAAGTCTGGAAAAGAGATTTGTTCATACGGAAAAAACCCAAACAAGCATCCACAGTTATTTACAGAGTGAACACATAGTCTTGATGATCTTAAACAAAAAAACCCTCCACCATCTAACAATAAACACCATTATAAAATACCACCAGAGTTTTTGATGCAAAAGTCTGGGAACCTCTGTGTTTTCTATGTGGTTGACTTAATTATTTTAAGAACTTAATATTTTATCAGCTTGTCTGAATGCACACAAGCTCCTTACATTATACTATAAATCTAAATTAGGGAGCTAATTTAAGTGGTTTATATGTAGCTACAGAGGTAAAGCAGCTATTTCTTAAGAACATGGTTTTAGAAAGTTAAATACAAGCAGAAGTATTTTACTCTTGCAAGCAACTTTATCCTGTCAAACAAAAGGTAATAGCTAAGATCAACCAGAACAGATAAAGAGAAAATAAGGAAAAATTTCAAAGCTCCCAACAGATCACAAAACTATTTCTAATATAAAATGGAATGACAGTATCTTTAAAAACATGATTGCACGCTGTGGTCATCTCTTGTTTAGGTGTCCAAGGCTATAACACTATTGGTTCTACAGTTAACCCCTTCCTGAGACTGACTAGTAACTATGTCAGAAGGGAGATTATAGTTTTTAAAGCAAAAGTAGCATGCGTTAGGCTGGAAAATTTACCAGTTATTTTCTAAAAACCACAGTACATGTGGTATATGTACATTAGATAGAACCTGCTGTTTCTCCGTGTGACCTGTGAGCTTCTTTCTTCGAAGGAGGAGATACAAACAACTTTTTCCAGCACAGATTTAAGACTACCCTGGTCATCATGCAGAAGCAAAATGCTTGTGGGGAGAAGAAATTTAGCTGTAAAGTCTTTGTCTTTCAGAATTCAGGTTCCACTCTCAGGGAGATCACTGATGCCCCGAGTATTAATGGACTCTGTCTCGTTCTACAGCATGATCAGCCAGCACGTTACTGCTTCATCGGTTGCTAGGGAGCAACGAGCTCATTACACGGCATCATCCACACCCTCCACAAGGATACTGGCACATGCTTCCCATCTGGGGATACTACTGATTGAAGTAATGGCAGTGGAGTGCCTGCCAGTCTTCAGTCTCCCAGGATGGAGTATGCCAATACAGCAGGTGCTAACTTTAGCTCTACCTTCGAGGTTTTAGGCTCTAGTCTTCGTGAGCCTGGCCAATGCAGTGCAACACACAAAGAGGTCAGAACAGCCCTCCACAGCTATTGGCATGGACACCCCTTACATTTAAAGGCCAGATCTAGACAAAGATGTTCTTCCTGAAATTTTGGCAGATACATGGCTTTGTTGACTAGGGCAATGACTGCCACTATTCTAATGTCTGTGTTAGAGGAGAATTCAGTAAAAATGGAAAAAGGCGGGGGGGGGGGGGGGGGCGGAAATCTTCTTTTCAGTCATTAAGGGAGCACAAGATTTGGAGGCATTCACAAAAGACATATAGAAATGTAGTGATCTCCAAGCTGTATACATTAAAACGTTGGAATGGATGTCAGTTGTGAACAATCTGGGTCACTTCAAAGTCTAAACATGCAAACCAAATGCATTTTTTCAGCTGTTTGTCTCATTAGCACTTCACAGATTTATTCACAATAAGAGGAAAAAAAAAAAATCTGTCAAGAAATAAAAAAAGCCACCCTGCTTCCATATGCCAGGAAATTTATTAACTAACAATCTATCTGCATTACACAGATATGGTATCTAATGATTTTCGTGTACCTGTCATATGTTAAATGCCATCCAAGAATTCTTAGTGCTGGTGAATTAACAAGCACATAAGGGAATACAGCGGTCAATATGCATAGACAGCTATACATTCAAATCCTTAGACAACTTCAAAATGCCTTTTGGGTTTTTTTTAACAATGACATAAAGAAACAGAGAAAGGAATGAGAAGGAAGGCAAACTGGGGTGATTCACTCATCAAATGCATGGAACAACAGCTTTACTTGAAGGGGATAGGTAAATGCAAAAAGTGTCAACTTTCTATCTTACCTGAAGTTAAGATTAAATTCTTAAGAATTTATGACCACAAAGATACAAAAATGCTCACCACTAATGAATGAAATAGTGTCATGGACACTAACATTATCACTTAAATGCGTTTTAAAATAACCGATTAGTTTGAAAGACAAATACGTACCTAAGTCCTTACCTGTCTCAACAATTTCTCAACAGCTGACATTACCATGAGCCCTCTCCACACAACAGGGGCAGTCTCTTCTATCAAGAAGCCCATAGACATGCTGAAACAACAAAGCAAAAACTTAAGCTTTCCAGCACAATACCAAATACAGCTTTAAAGAAGCTTGATTTAAATTAAAGCATATGCTCACCATGCGATTCCATAGTTCTTAAGCGGCCTCATTAGATTTTCTAAAACAGAAGGAAACAATGGGTTTTTTGAGGGCGGGGGAGAGTTGGTTTTACAGTTTGGTTTTAGATTTTATTTTTTTTTTAAGAAATAAGCTTACACATTTTTTTTTCCTCTTAAGAGCAGTTTTCTCTCTCTGTTAAAAGCATTTGTCTATTTTTTCTCCCTCATACCTGCAATATACGTATACATTTATCTATTCCACCCAAGAACCTGGCCTCACTTTTTCTTAGGTTACATTTTACTAATACCATTCATCTTCTGCCAGAATAACAATGCATTTGCCCATAATATAATGTCACTTTGTGCTCTTGAAACCAACCTTATCTATTTGTATGAAATCCCCATGCTGCAAGGCATAAATCCCCTATCGGACAGCCCTCTACCTTTGGAATACTTTGCTAAAAGCCGAGTCGCTGATATCAGAACAGAAATCAAAGTCCTACAACACAATGAGATTTTAATATTTTTTTTTTTTTTAAACTATGCTATCACTAATCTCATGAATCACAGGATGGTTCCCATTAACACACCAGTGTTTGGGGGAATTCTTCTTTTATTAAGTCTGCTTTGGAACCCCAGAGGAGAGGTACCAAATAAAGCCACCCCTAAACTACATGCTGTCAACAGGTCCGAGTAAGAAGTCCTGGATTTCTTCAGACTGGCAGGAGTCTGCAGGACATCTAAAATTCCTGTAGGAGCAAAAGATGCTTATTTGTACATTGCAGAGATAATGTCCTTGTGATGCTCCATATTCCTATGCTTTCCAGTGTCAAGGAAAAAAAAGCGGAGGGAGAAATATTGTAATAGTTCTGCTGGCAAAGGGGCAAGCAAGCAGAAAGTAAACAACAACAAAAAAAGAGTGCATTCAAAACAAAACCTTGCAAAAGCCAAAAACTCCACTTTACAGTCTCTGCCATCTAAATCCACACTTTATCTCAAAATGGCGCACACACACACAAAACAACAACAGGAATTTTATTTGGTCTAGCCGGTTTATTTTAATAGCATGCACAGGCAAGAACCAGCAGAAAACAGAAAGAATACTTTAAGCAATAAAAAAATATATTCTAATATGTATTTTGACAGAAACTTTTGATGCACCCAAAGTAAAATATATATAAATAGTAAAATAAAAACATTAATATAATGCAGTGCATTCAAAGTTGAACTCCAAATTCAGACAAAATAACACCCAAGAGCATGCAAATTAAACAGTTAAACTCTACAGATGAAAGCTTTCAAGCAATCAAGTAAGCCAGCATTCGAGCCATGTAATTTTGTAGAAATATGGCTGAAAATAAATTAGATGTTTTGGTTTACAAATCAAAAAGAACAAAATAGGAAGCTAAATAAATCACTTGCATAACTATTGCGTTCAGGAATGAGTATGGAACTACTACTGGAAAAGAGATGGCCTTGGACTGATGCACTGCACCAGTGTAATGCAACTCTTCTCTACTTGTGCAGCTCTTTTCAGTGTTTAGTTAGGGCTTATTTTGGTGGCATTATACTGTCTAACAGCATTTCTAGGAATCACAGTCTTACTTCTCCCCCCTGCGGTAAGATAGTTTTGTTACGAAGAGGTTGATGACATCTGAGCTTCAGCCTAGAGCCATCTCTAGTCACTGCTTTGGTGTCCTTGTAAACAACATATGTACCACCACAAGTTATAATACTGTTAGAAGTCTTGAGAAAAATGACTACATATTTACCTATGAGAGGGTTTTAAAAAAAAGAAACAGGAAAAACAAGTATCTGCAACGGCATGTATCACTGCAGATTCACAGTCTGCTTCATTTTTGCCATGAAATAGTAATGATTTTAAGAAAAAAAAACAAGAGAAAACAAAAAGGTGAGGCCAATCCTTGACTGCTCAGCACATGAGGACCAGGAACTGAAAGGTAAGAAAAATGGAAAAGATGCATTTATTCTGAGGAAGTTCACCAAAATACTATGCCACTACTCGGTCCAATCCAAGTGCTCTACAGTATGTTGGTCAAACATCCAGAGGCTAACATCTCAACATCCACTACCTGCATACACAGTTTCTTCTATATAGAGCCCAGGAAGACACACTAATCTTACAGAACAGACGCACCTTCAGAGATCTCCCTCTCCACCTCAGTGGGTAAAATAGAAAAGTTGCTGTGAGTACACATACGCTGACCTAGAGAGTAGCCAAAGGGGCCTCTCTGTTGTTAAAACATGTGCGCTGTTTATTTCGCAACAGTAGAGTTGCATTTTATGAAAACTGGATCTTATTTTCTTTGGTTAACAACAAGGACTACAAACTGCTCTGAGCAGCAAGATTTAATCAAATTTATACAATGCACAACAACAATTCACAACCTGCTGTATATTCTGGCTATAATGTTCTGCATATTCTCAAAGCAATACAAAATACTGCAGAGCACCCCACTGTTCGCCTACTGCTAAAAAGCATTCTTAAGACTATCTCAAATCTAAAGTGCTTCAGTGGGCTCTGGTAATCACCCTTGTCTCATCAAAAGCAACAGGCATTCCTCCTCCTTCGCCCTGGGTCTCATGAAGATTTTATAAAACATAACATGTAAAGAAGATTCAGCTTAATGAGATCTCAGTAACGTCTCTAACTTCCATTGCTTTCAGAGTACAGTTAACACTTTCTTCTCTGTTATCAGATGCCTACCATACAACTCCAAAATTCCAACACACAACAAAACAGATTTCTTAAAATCGCAACACACAGAAATACTATGCCACCTACACTAAGACATCAACAAAATATCCCTGCTTACAACTTCTCAGTAAGCTTGATGGCCCTAAATAAAAGGGTGCTGTGTTTTCTCTGAACGTACAAAATCAGACCAGTAAGATCAACAGAACACCAATGACAAGTCAATCAAATGCCTTTTCTAGTAGGATACAAGTAGGGCACTGGAGAAGGCAGGCACATGCAAATTCATGACAGCATTACAGCAGATTGCTGATTAAAAGAGTTCTAGGACTGGTCTGAAGGCTGGATTGCTACACACACAGGGAAGAACGATGTTGAAGTCATTAGTATGGATCTTCTGCATTTTGTAATTATTTTTTTTTTTTTTAACTTTTTTCCCTCCAGAAAAATCAAGCCTTGCAGACTATCCTGGCAAGGTGAGTTACTCCATTCTTTTTCTCTAGAAAGCCTAACATAGCCCATTTAATGGTGGCCATAGGTTAGTGCAGCACAGAAAGTATGTAGAGAGCTATATATAGGGTTTTGGCTGGGAAAGGGTTCAATTTCTTCATAGTAGCTTGCATGGTGCTATGTTTTGGATTTGTGGTGAACACAGTGACAATAACACAGAGATATTTTAGTTGTTGCTGAGCGGTGCTTACCCAGAGCCAAGGCCTTTTCTGCTCCTCACCCCCCCCCACCAGCGAGCAGGCTGGGGGGGCACAAGGAGTTGGGAGGGGACACAGCCGGGACAGCTGACCCCAACTGACCCAAGGGATATTCCAGACCATATGGTGTCGTGCTCAGTATATAAAACTGGGGGAAGAAGAAGGAAGGGGGGGGCCGTTCAGAGTGATGGCGTTTGTCTTCCCAAGTGACCGTTACGCGTGATGGAGCCCTGCTTTCCTGGAGATGGCTGAACATCTGCCTGCCCATGGGAAGTGGTGAATGAATTCCTTGGTTTGCTTTGCTTGCGTGTGCGGCTTTTGCTTTGCCTATTAAACTGTCTTTATCTCAGCCCATGAGTTTTCTCACTTTTACCCTTCTGATTCTCTCCCCATCCCATAGAGGGGAGTGAGTGAGCAGCTATGGTTAAACCACGAAGAGACAATTTCAATTCTTGGCTTAGTTTTCAGAAGAGGTCTACTGACTGATACATTATAGCAAGCAAAGGCTTACATTTAGTCTTATCTCATCAGGTAAGTAAAGATCATTATTCCAGGAGATTGTGATGTTACACTACACCTCCTTAGGAGGCATCATGCTGTTTAAGAAAAGCAAAGGTAGCTTATAATTATTAAATATGAGTACAGTAGATTTGCTAGGGTGTTGCATGATCCATTTTGAGCTTACTGACTGAGCGAGCACTAATGCAGAGGAGTTGCTCAGAGTTTTCAAGTATCTCAGATAAGGGGTATGTTGGGGTTTTTACCATTTCAAAGGCAAAAAAAAAATACCCAAACATGAAATGAGAACACTAGAAGCTCAGATTTTTCTCCTTGTTAAAGATTTCCCATTGTACTCGGCTATTTTTGGAACTTGCCAATATAATGGAAGATCAGAGACTTCCTAGAATTACAACTAATTATTTTAATGTTTATCTTCAATAAATCTTAATAGTGGAAGTCACCTGTCTGTCCTAACTGGACTTTGGTCATCAAGCAGGAAAGTGGCAATTTTAAGTTGTTCTAGGATGGGACATCAATAGCTAAATCTATCAAAAAGTAGAACAATTGTATGATTTTCCAGTTAAAAACATCCTACTGACCTTTGCATGCAGATTTCCAAGTGTTTCCAAAGACACTACCAATGCAGAAGTGTTTGCCTGCACAGATGCCACTGCAAGCTCTGGGCTATGCTCTGAATGTGTGTTTCCCGATTCTTAATTTTTATACGAGCCCCATTTCCATGACACCCATGCACCCAAAATGAACATTTTTACCTAACAACATGCTTCTGAGGTGGGGAAGTATTATCTCACGTTACAGATGAGGGAATCAAGACCTGGACTGTGAAACTTGCTCTAGATTATTCAAGAATCCTGTGGATTTGGAGACCTATGCTGTGTTCCTCCAAGGTTTGATGCTCTAACAGAGCCATGGCTCCACTTACACCATCTCCAAAGTTGGAAAGCATGTAATGCACAACTGATAAACATCTAGGAGATCTAAACAGTTTAGATGCATTGATGAAGTTATGTATTTTCCTTTGAAATTCCCAAATATGTCTGAAAGAATTAAAATTTTAAAAAGCAAACTGAGGCACAGTGTACAACAGAAAAAGCTGTAGAAAGTTACACTACAT